CTCCCCTCTTTAGAATTTAAAAAAGAAAACATAAATAAAAGAAGCTTAGAACTCAGTAACTCGTTTTGATGCGATCAAAACAAGAAGATTGGAATTGATTTGGAACGACGCACTTCATATACATTGAAAGGTTGATTGCTCAAGGTCTTAATGTACTTCAAGAATACTCACTTAAGAATTCTGCAATTATTCAATAGAGATATTAAAGCTAGCAACATCTTTACTAGCCAATGAGATGAGCCACAGATTTCTGATTGTTGGTATGGCGAGAATTTTTCAGAAGAGAGCAATGAAGCCAACCAGGCCCGATGTTTTTTGGGACATAGTGAAGTAAATTTGCTTCTTGAAAAGCAATGTAGAATTTCATTATCATCTAACAAATACATCTATATATACCTACAGTATATTATGTTGTGTGTGTGTGTGTGTGTGTGGGTGTGGGGGCTTAAGTTGTGTGTGTGTGTGTGTGTGTGTGTGGCTTAATGATCTCATTTATTCATGAAAAATTGCAGTGGCTACGTACCTCCTGAATATGTGAAAAGAGGTACCTACTCCATGAAGTATGATGTTTATAGCTTTGGAGTTTTGCTTCTGCAAATCATAAGTGGGAAGAGAAACACATGTTTTTATGGTTCAAGTGAAAATCTAAACCTTCAGGAATATGTAAGTCACCTTCTTTACACTTGCTTTGACATATTAGGCAATTGGTGTATTGATCTTGTTTCGCGCATTGCAGGCGTACGAATTGTGGAAAGAAAATGGCGGTGAGGAATTTATAGATCCAACATTAGATGATAAATGTTCTTCCTGTAAGCTCTTGAGATGCCTGCAAGTAGCCCTGCTATGCGTGCAAGAAAGTCCAATGGATAGACCTTCAATCTTGGAAGTTTATTCCATGCTGAAAAACGAAAATGATGCTATTGCTCGTCCTAAAAGACCTGCATTTTCTGTCCAGAATTGTGAAGACGAAGAAAATAGACACATATCAGGTCAAGAAATTTGTTCAGTCAATGATGTGTCCATTACCGAAATGTTGCCCAGATAACGTAGCTTTGCCTTTTTCAAATGAAATTGTATAAACAGGCATACAATCGCATTTTAGAGTAAACAATTTCTAATCCATGGATGCTAACATTGCAATATATTAAAACATCACCTATTAATTGATATTTTATTCCTTTTTTCATTCTAATTAACCCCTTCATTTGCATTTAGCAAACGTTAATATTTAATAAACATTGATTTTTTATCATTAAATAATAGAAATACAAACTAATGATATCCAATGGAATTAAAATTAATAACCACTAAATAATGAAATTACATTACCGTAATGTGATACACTGATTGATTGAAATATAATACCAATTTATTAAAAATTTGCCTATATATATTATTTTGCCTTATAATTAAATCTTTTTATATTTTATTTAATTATAAAAAATTAACAAATTAATAAACATTTCAATTGAATATATGAAGTTTCAAAAGTAAAAGGACATAATTTAATTTATAAAATTTCAAAATATTTCAATCTACTAATTAAAATTTTCAATTTATTACCTGAAAATTTCAAAACGGATGTAATTTCACATTTTATCATTTAATTAAAATAAATTATTTAAATTAAATCAACAACAATTTTCTAAAAACATTTATCCTTCAAATTGTTTAAAAAATATATACAATTACACAATATGCCAACGGAAATTAATAAACATACTACCAAAATCCGGAATCATGGATTCATTAGTTAACTACCAAAATAAGGGCCAAAAAGAAATCATGAACATTTTTCTCCAATTAACCACTAAGATTTTTTCAATGAAAAAAAGGGAAAAAGAAAACATTTGTAAAAAGAAAATCCAGACAAAGAAACGTTTTGAGTCGAGGCTCAGATTTTATCGTGTCAATCAGGAAGGTGACCAGAGCTATGGCTGCAACAAAGAAACTAAGTGGTACTGAGAGAGTTGGAGCCAAAATAAATAAATAAACAAAGGGAAAGTAATTATTTAGTCCATGAGGTTCGAAGCAAACATTGTGCAGCCAAAAACGTTATTACCCTTTTGAGTGTCTGATTTCTGAGTGTCTGATTTTCGCTGATCAGAACATATCCATGCCTCAAAAGATCCAACGATTTAGATAGGAACATTTTGGTCATTGTTACAATTTTCCTGTGAACAACAAGGCTTGAAGAGACAGATAAAAAGATAAAGGAGGCTCAGATAGATATCCAAAGAATTGACAAGAAAGCAATACATTCCATTAAACCATGACTGCAAATTAGGAATGACAGAAATTGAAGAGAACCTCATTTTGCTTATTTCCATAAGTTGCCCGCCAATTTAATGGTTTATTATATCTAATCCTGAATTTTTTGATTACTGATATATCATCATCAGCCTCATCAACGATAGAACATATATGTAATATTCTCTATGTTGCATGGAAACGCAGGAACGGAACGGACAACATATGAGAAATTCCAGTTTATTAGAAATGGTAATTTTCGAGAGGTGGGAACATGCTTCCAAATTGCCCATTTTACACCCCGAGGAGTTTCCAAACATTTCCGTGCAAGATTGTATTATAGATAGACAGAATGCAGAGGAAGTTGATTAATTAATTTATTTATTTTGTTTAATGGCTGTTGCCAACATAAAAAAAAAAATGAAATCATCGACTTAGCTAACAATCGGACAGGAGGAGTCAACCACCCTGAAACCTGCCGCCTGCCTGAGAGCAAAGCCTCGTTCCCAAATTAATGAGATACAAGTTTCCAATGAACCAAACAAGGAGAGAAAGAAAGCAAGGGATTTGGTAAATCACAAGGCCCCATTTGCAAAATGAATTTTCAAATGAATTTTCATTTGCACCGAACATGAAAGTCTAGATTTGTAAATGAATTACTTAAAATTTTGCAGAATTCATTTAAACCAAGAGGGACGACGGATGGAAATATGCTACACTCATACTGGTTAAGTTACTCCCACTGCCAAAAATGACAGACAAGCACAAGTACATCTGGGAAATAAACTCTAACCTGCCTTTTTTGAGAGAGGTAGGCTCAGATTCGCCTTTGGTCAGACAGAAAAGAGAACCACATAACCATGGCTGCAACAAAAACAGGGAAAAATGAAAGCTCAAAGTTGCCAAGCCAAAGCTCTGTTCCTTACAACGTCTGTTTTCCACTAAAAAAAAATCATCACACCCTCATAAAAAGGAAAAATTTCAGCAAACCAAACATATACTTAACAGAGATAGAGAAATCTGAAGAAAGACAAGGCTCAGATCAGATATGCCTTTGAATCAGACAAGAAAGAAACAATGGCATCACTATGGCTGCAAGGGCTGCCCCGCCAAGATGCTTTATCTTCCTCGAATCTGATTTTTGGGTACTGATATATCATTTTATTATTATTTATTATTATTATTATTATTGTTTGTGTTGCAGCATAAATATATATATTTATATATATTATATATTTGTTATATAGTGAGAGAGAGAGAGAGAGAGAGGAGAGAGAGAGAGTGGAAGATGTTTTTATTTTCGCTTCTTCTTTCTTTTCCTTTGGGGCTGTTAGTAATCTAAGAGTGAATAAATCAAGGCTCCCGCTACCGATCAAGAGAGGCGGAAGTCAACACCCCGGAAACCATCCATAATCTGCTTGAGAGCAACACCTCAATCCTCAGCTGGAATTTCCCCTACAAAGAGAGAATACCTAGCTCTTCTCATCTTTTCATTTCTAATTTCTCTATTTATGGCGATATCACCTTGATTTGATTATTCCATGCCTTAGCGCTTAGCCTTCCTTTGTGCTGTATTTTGTAGAAAACTGAGGGGTATTATTGCCAATCTATTATCATTATTGCGATTGGTAAAAAGGGAATCAAATGGAGGTCAATTTTGTAATCACAAGAACCAAAGTACTCATATTCATCTTTTTACGAGACCGCCACTGGCCTTGGTTATACGCGTGTGCTTCATGCGTGAGCGGGTGTAATGGTTATCGCTATCTTGCACCAAAAAAAAAAAAAACAGAACATCAATTTTGCTCTCGCCATCTCAAGATTGTTTGTGTCTCCATCTTGACTACAACCCTGGATGCGCTGCAAACCGATCACAATGAAATAATTTAAAATGAGCAAGATACATAAGAAGAAATTGCTGTTGTTTGTGGGTATTACTGCAACTTTCTAGATTGGGGTTGTTGGATTCTCGATTTTGAACAGGATGTAATTATGGGTCTCGTTGAGTAACTTATCACCTGGGATGGTTAATCTCTCTTGCGCTATGCATGTTGATTTTCTTGCAATTGCATGTGCGCAGCTATGTCAACTAGTTTCTTTCTTGTGAAAGTTCAGGAGGAATCATGAATATTCTTTGTTGGAACTGCCGAGGACTTGGTCACACTCGAGCAGTTAATGCTCTTAATGATCTTATTCGATGCCATAAACCAACGGTCACCTTTCTGTCTGAAACTTTAGTTGCTTTGAATAAAATTGAGCAGCTCCGTTGTAGACTTCATTATGATTCCTGCTTTGCTGTGGATGCTGTGGGACGCAGCGGTGGCTTAGCAATCTTGTGGAATTCTCAGGTTAATTTAGAAATTCTGCGTTATTCTTTCTTCGCATTTTATTGATATGAAAATTACGGAAAGCCTGCAGGTTTTATTGGCGCCTCACTGGTTTTTTATGGCAATGGCCGGAAACGACATAGTCAGGCAAATTTCGTGGAATGTCCTCGATCTTTAGCTAGGCTTGGAAAAATCTCCCTTGGTTAAATTTGTGGCGACTTTAATGACCTAATGTTCGGCTGAGAAAAAGAAGGCGTAATGCGCTCATTCCTCCATACTTACTACAGGGTTTCCTCAGATACTGTGCGCCGATTTTGTGGTCTGATTGACTTGGGAATGTCGGGGTATCCTTTTACTTGGGCTCACGGCAGAGGTCAAAATCGGGTAGAGGAAAGATTGGACAGAGCTTTGGGAAATATTACTTGGCAGAATCATTTTGCTAATTATCAGGTCCAGAACCTAGTCTCAAGTAAGTCTGATCACTCCCCTCTTCTGATTCGTACTTCCCCCAGAGTCAGAAATTTTAGGCCCCAACGTTTTCGATTCGAGAATTTTTGGCTAGAGGAGTCTGATGTGGATTCTATGGTTAGAGAGAGTTGGGCCAATAATGATGGTGTTGATGTAACGCGGAAGATAAAGGTTTGTGGACAACGTCTACAGAGTTGGGGTAGGAGACTAAAGCTTCGGTTTAGGAAGGATGCAAAGCAATTGACAGTGCAACTTGAGAATCTTCGGATCAACGGTAATATTGAACAATTTGAAGGTGTGCAGTTGAGAATCTTCGGATTAATGGTAATATTGAACAATTTGAAGGTGTGCAGCGTAAGCTTGATGATGTTCTGTACCGCGAAGAGGTCTTCTGGTCCCAAAGAGCGAAATCCCATTGGCTGCAATCAGGGGATATGAACTCTCGGTACTTCCATGCAACTGCTAAAAAACGGAAGAAATCAAAGCAAATATTTCGGCTGAAGGATACTAATGGCGAGTGGATAAGTGATAGCAATTTGTTGACAGGTATGGTGAGCGACTACTTTGTTAATCTATTTAAGGCAGGGAATGCTGACTTAAGCCCTGTTGTGGGTTTATTCTCTCCTATGGTTTCGGATAATGATAATCTCATGCTACTTAGAGACATTTCAGTGGACGAGGTTAAATTGGTTGTGAAACAGATGCATGCGGATAAAAGCCCTGGGATAGATGGACTAAATCCTAGATTCTACCAGAGGTTTTGGGATATTGTGGGCCATGATGTAGTTTCGAGACTGGTTTAATTCAGGTGTCTTTCCGGATAATCTCAACGATACCTTAATTGTGCTAATTCCAAAAATAGAAGACCCAGAGGCAGTGAAGGACTTTCGACCTATTTCACTTTGTAATGTAATTTACAAAGTGTTTGCTAAGGTTCTGGCGAACAGGCTGAAGACCATTTTGCCTAATATTTCATTATCTCAGTTGGCTTTTGTCCTAGGCCGGTTGCTTTCAGATAATGTGTTAGTTGCTTTTGAGTTAATCCACTCTATGAAAACACGAATGACCGGTCAGCGAGGAGCTTCCACACTGAAAGTTGATATCTCTAAAGCCTATGACAGAGTAAACTGGTGCTATCTAC